TGCCCTGGGTGGAAGAAGGATTTCTGTGAAACTGGAACAACACTGAGAGATGGAAGCCAAGGGGCTGTAACTGAGATTTTGGTTCTTCAGATTATATTTATAATAGCATGAGGTGGTTCTCATCTAAGAATAGTATTCTTGCATCCTGAGGCCTCAGAATTTCCAGAGGCACTTGATGCTACAAGGTTGGGACTCTAATACATAAGCATTCAGTGGACATTTATCTATTTTGTTTATAAACATTGAACCAGGGGAAAAGTAAAGAAGCCTTTGTGTAGCATGACTCCTAATTACAACAGTGGACATATCCACGTAGTTTCATTGCAGCCATACTACTGTTATTGGCTTCTTCAGGGATATTTTTTAACTTCCCCATCTGGCCTACAGCCCTTGCTGGTCTTCCTCCAAGTCCTAGCTAGGTCTGACCCTGCTTTTGGGATCAATCAAGGTTGGCCAGGTGCTGCAAACTTCCTTGCCTGTAGAACCAGAAAAGAATGAAGCCAATTCATTTCTTCTACAGAACTGTTTTCTTACCTTGGCAACTTCCAGATATTTGAACTTCAACCCAGAATTCTCAGCAATGTTCCTGCAGGCTGGGGAATTTGGGGAGTTGAAGTCTGTATATCTAGAAGTTGCCAAGGTTGGGAAGCACAGCTGCTAATTTTGTGGCAGGTCAACAAAGAAATCACAGTTATTTCAAGTACTTCACAGCTCTCTTTATTCTTTCTCCTGCCTCATTTTCTCTCAGTAGAAACTGCTTCTAGCTGTTGCTATTTCTCTCACAGGATCATCTATTTGTTATCATTTCCCAAATTGAAGAGTATTACATGCAATATAGATAATTTTCCAGGATTTGTAATGCCAACCTATTTCTCCTTTCCCAATCTTTCCTATGGTTGCTCCCAGCGTTCAATTTCAATTTCAATTCAGTTTCAGCTGAATGAATGTAGATGCTAGTTCTATAATCAGTCCTGAAAACTATATATTCTACTGACTGACTGTTTTGTCCATTAAATACTAGATACCCAGGATACCTGAATGCACTGTAGCAAACATTATAGTGTTTGAAGAGAGAGGCATGTTTATCTCCTTTCCAAGATACAATATTTATAGCAGACTAGTGGGTCACACATTTGGCATGAAAAGCAGCTCCGAGGCTAGGAATTACTTTAACAATAGTGACTTTGACATCTTCAGAATTACTTTTTTTTTTTTTCCTGAATGCATGGGGAGGGTAAAGGAGATTGCATGCAGAGTGGGGTAGACCTCTTTTACTTTAACAATAGTGACTTTGACATCTTCAGAATTACTTTTTTTTTTTTTCCTGAATGCATGGGGAGGGTAAAGGAGATTGCATGCAGAGTGGGGTAGACCTCTTTTATGCACTTAGATGATTTATCATCCCATGGTCCCAAATATATGAAGACTTTTATTAATGTACTGATGTCATCTTCTGCAGCCCCTGTTCTCCATATGAAGAACGAAAGGAAAGCTTTAGGGATTTTAATGATTCCAAAGAATGGATGAGAGCCAGTGTGGTCTAGTGGTTAAGGCACCAGGCTAGAAACAGGGAGACGGTGAGTTCTAGTCCCTCCTTAGGCATGAAGCCAGCTGGGTGACCTTGGGCCAGTCACTCTCTCATCCCTAGGAAGGAGGCAATGGCAAACCACTTCTGAAAATCCTTGCCAAGAAAACCACAGGGACTAGTCTAGGCAGACACCAGGAGTCAAAAACTGACTTGAAGGCACAGAAAAAGAAAAAGAAAAAGAAAAGCAATGTACAGGTCATATGCCCTCCTGTTCATATTTGTGACACTCATGGAAGCATCTGGTTGGTGACTGTGTGACACAAATGCTTGATTAGAGAGACCATTTGCCTAATCAAAGATGACTCATCAGTTCTTATGGACAATGAATGAACAGAACTAGGATTCTGAAAGCAATGGACGTAAAATGCACTTACTGATGCATGCTACTGATGAAAATAATGCTGTTTGGCTAAGTTTGTTTCTTACATCTTATTTTTCTGGTTGCAAGGTACTCGCTGAGGAAAAATAACAGGAACTGGCTGGAGATTGATCCTGTCAGTGGCAGGATATATACAGCTGCCCCACTGGATCGCGAAATTCAGCATACCTATATAGTAGAAATTGTTGCAACTGAGCAAAGTAAGAAAGCACAACTTTATTCCCCAGGGACATCTTGGAGTTTGAAAGGGCCTTGGCCAAAGTGCCTTCTAGCAGGTTCTACGTTTGACTCTTTCCATATTTGGTGGCAGTGGCTGGGAGTAGCAAGATATACTATTTATAATTTTCCATGTTCAGATCAATGCTGCATTATGCACTTTAGGGCACTTAAAATGGCAGCTTGCACTGCCTGGAAAGATGGTCCAGACCAGATGTGTGTGCTGCTGGGAGTCTTTACCAGGGCACCGGGATGCCATTGGCTGCCAGGAGATTGCAGGTGCTAGCACCAATTTTGGCCTTCTCTTGATAAGAATT